TTCTAATGATAAAGTATATAAAATATATACAAGATATATAATATATACAATATATAAAAATGCCAATAATCTATGAATAGCTCGTAGCCTACTCTTTAACAAAAGAATACATTTTATTGAACTTCCAGTTTTTCCAGTCTCACTCGTATATATTATGTTAGAAAATAGAGTATTATTATATGTATAAAAGTTTTTCCTTTTCATCATTATTTTGGTTTTAGAGATCGTCAGGAAGAGTTAATTTCTATTTTTTTGAGAAACTCCAATTTTGCTATTAATACCCTTTGTAAATTAATATATTTTTAAACTTTGAGTAAAGATATCTTAACAACAATATAATTAAATTAGATAAAAATTTTTTTGAAAAAATGTAGTTTATACTGGAAATTATTAATAATCTCCTTTTTGTTTTATAGTTTTTTAACAAAATTTAGGGTTTGGGTGCAGTTTAATAATAAAATAGAGGTTAGATATAATGGTTCAATATTTAGATTACACAAGGTTTTAAGGGGTTCTAAACACTTTTACTTAACCTACCTATAGTCAATTTATTGAGATATAGCATTCTGGATATTAATAATCTCTAGTATAAATTATAAATATTCTAAAATTATAATAAGCAATTATAAATATAGTATTTATCAACTTATTTTATTTTAATAATAAGTAAATGATAATTTATTAACTAATCAAATTAAAATTAACAAATTATAAATATAAATACTTATTTATCTAATACTATTTCTCTTTAATAATCATAGTAATCTGATAGATATTTTTTTATCCAAAATAATTTCACTTTATAAATTTCTTTATGCTGATCGTGCTGGTCCTGCACGGCATCGTGCTGCGCAGCTATATTATTAGTTTGTAGATTCTTGATTAGTCTTTTTATAGTACAAACATGTATAATTAGAAGCCTCACCGTGGATTAATATCAATCCTTCCCTATATATAGTTTATAGAAATTCGATATATTCAATAGAATATATCGAATATATTCGTATATTCAATATGTTAAATATATTAGATAAATTGATTATTTCGAAACCTGTATTATTAGTGATGTAGAAAATATAAATGCGATTCTATTTGACCATCATTAAGAGGAACTCAGCTTACTAGGAGTTCAATAAAATAATCTCAGTTTGGAGAATCCAAATCCTTTGCCTATTAACTCAAAAAGTCCCAATACCACATTCTCTAATCTATAATTACTCCCTTACTGATAATCAAGAAACCGTTTCTATAAGTCAAGTATATCACCTCTTGACTTAATAGAGATCGTGAGCCAGATCACGTGCCACGTGACCCCGAAGACCAACAAACCAGGATAATCCAAGAATAGCCCTAAAACCTGGACCAAATTTTCCACGCCGTCTTTCAAGCCTTCCAACTCAGGGTTGATTGTTGGATTTGAAATATTCGGGTCCGTATCATTTCCACCGACAATCATTTCATCGACATCTCATTTAGCCGACATCACTCCAAGCGACAATTTACTAAAAATATATACCTGAAACTAATAAAACCCTAACCCTAACCCATGTGATGTCGGCTAAATGAACTTTCGGTGAAATGACTGTCGGTGAAGTGAGCGGCACCGAAATAATTCGTACCCGAGCCCTTGCGTAACATAGCCTCCGGATGAGTTCCAGTCTAGACCTTTTCTGTATGTATTGTACATACTGTACGCATGGTGACTGCATGGTGATCTATCTCTATAAATGGTAATCACTAGGCTGTACAACAGGTAGTTCCATGGATAAGTGAAACCCGAAAATTTAATTTATAATATACCATTTAAGTGCGATTTGCATACGTATGTAAATTAACATTTTTAGTAGTCTAATAGCTTTGTATCATGCAAATCACTGCCAGTTCGGAATGTTTAAAAGACTTTCAAACTCGATCTTCGTAAACATGTTTTTGCATAGCGATAGCGATAGTAATAATGATAGCGATAGTAATAATGATAGCGATAGCGATAACGATAGATTTGTATCACTTAGTTCGGCCGAGCATTGGATAAATAAATACAAAACAATATAAAAAATTATCAAATCCAATTTATTGGTTACATTGAATTTTCCGAACAGGTGTAACGTGAAAATAAAAAAATAAAACGTTTTCTTTGTTGATTAAGGTTAGGGCAGGGTTAGAACGGGGCATAGATTATATCAAAATTTTGCAATGAATTTTATTTGTTAGAACACAAAATGCTATTTCCTATGCAAATTAGGAGATACTGGCGAATTACTTTTTTTTGTATTTTTTTTTCACCAGCACTGTGCGATATATCGATAACTCCTTTCCGAATTATATAGGAGTATTTTTTTTTTTTATATATTTAATAGTAAATTGTCTTCATATATAGAATGTGATAGTAGGTGATTATAAAAAAATCGAACGTTTTTTTTTTTTTTGATACTTTCTTTAGAAGTAAATTGAGAATACCTACCCTTTAAGTGCGATTTGTATACGTGTATAAATTACCATTTTTATCTAATTATCTTTGTATCATGCAAATCACCAGTTTTCGGAATGTTTGAAAAACTGTCAATTTCGATCTTCGTAAACATGATTATCCTTATAATAGATATTAGATTTGTATCACTTAGTTCGCATTGGCTAAATGTAACGTTTTACTTCGTTTAATTAGGGATAGACAACTCCTTTCCGAATTAGATATTTTAAATGTTTAATAAAAAAAACAAACAAATTACTATTGTATGTTATGTTATTTTTATTGGCATTTTTCAAAAAATAAAAACAAATATTTATTTATTTTTTATATTTATTTGCTAAAATTATATTATTTCACTTATTGTGACTACATATTAATAAATTAATGTTTTTTTAAACGGAGTTTGCTAATTTATATCATAGATGATTGTAGTAAAACCTCCTTTTTCAAAAAAGTGCTTATAAAGAAGTTGTACTTATATGGGAATATTTTTTTATATGTTTAATAGTAAATTGTCTTCATATATAGAACGTGATAGTAGGTGATTATAAAGGAGTATGCTAGTATTTCAAAATTATTCTTATGAAACTACTTTTGGGGCTCTAAGTAAAAAAATTCCTTATGAAATTTTACTATAGACCTTGCTAAACCCAACATTAATCGACCTCTAGCCTTATCTTACAGTCAAAGAAAATATGTTTTATTTATGTTATACACATGTGGTGTAAATTAGTTGGAAAAAATCACCCGATTTTTTAAAATCATGTTTTAACCCAAAAGAACTAAAATTATTGTTGATTAAAATAGAACAAGAAAACGTATTCTTATCTTCGCATATCATATATTTTGATCTTTCTGATAAGCCAAACTACTAAAATTATTGTTGTTTAAAATAGAACAAGAAAGTATTTTTATCTTCGCATATCATATTTTTTTTTGAGCCCTGAACCAGTACAAAACTTCAATCTATTCTTTTATTCTAATTCTAATTTTAAAACTTCGATTTGTACAATGCTAGTATATGATTTCTAGCTCTCATAACTTCTGAATTTTTTATAAATAGATGCAAAATTTTACCTCCTTTATCTTATCGATTCTTTCGAATTATTAAAAAAAATTAAAAAATTAATCATGACTTCAGTTCTTGATCAATTAAAACAATGGACCACTATTGTGTCCGACTCAGCAGATTTTAAAAGTGAGTATTATTATTAAGTTAATTGAATTAATTCATGATTTAATAAAATAATTATAATTTAATAGCGATTAAGCAATATGATCCGCAAGATGCAACTACAAACCCTTCTTTGGTCCTAGAAGCGACAAAAAATCCCCATTATGATTATTTGGTTGACTCAGCCATCAGATATGCCAAGAGCAAGGGAGGGTAATTATAAGATTTATCTTTAATTATTTCGATAAAATAAATAAATTCAATAAAAATGATTAAACCTTGTTATATTTACATATTAGGTCCATCGAGGAAATGACAGAAGCGGCCTCCGATAAATTAGTAATTCTCATATAACTTCTTACTCAAATTGTTAAAAAAAATTTTATATTAATCCATTCAAATTTAAAATATCACATTTATAGTTGGTAAATTTTGGCGCCGAAATACTTAAAATCATTCCCGGGAGAATATCTATCGAGGTCAATGCCCAATTATCTTTTAACACCGAGGCAACGGTTGTTAAAGCAAGACAACTGATTGCCCTCTATAAAGAAATTGGGATTGACAAATCGCGCGTTATGATTAAAATTGCCTCCACCTGGGAAGGTATTCAGGCGGCGAAAATACTTGAAAATGAGGGCATACAATGCAATTTGACCTTACTTTTCTCTTTTACTCAGGTAAAACTTGTTTTTTTTTTTAAATAAAATATCTCTTTGTCCAAAGTCAATATTTTGCGCGTTCGTGTAACATGACGATCGACTATATCAAATGTAGGCTGTTGCTTGTGCCGAAGCTGGTGTAACCATAATCTCTCCATATGCCGGTAGAATTCTTGATTGGTTTATGAAAAATACCAATAAGACCTATAAACCCCACGAAGATCCCGGTGTAATATCGGTGACTAAAATTTATAATTATTATAAAAAATTTGGTTATAAAACCATCGTAATGGGTGCAAGTTTTCGAAACGTCGGCGAAATTGAAGAATTAGCCGGATGCGATTTCTTAACAATCGGTACGGCTCTATTAAATAAACTACAAAATAGTCATAAAAAAATTCACAGAAAGTTGAGTCCTGAAACTGGTATGTATAAATTTATTTATAGATTGTTAGGTTGTTGTTTTAGTTTGGTGCTTATTTATTTATTTTTATGATAGCGCTAGCGCATTGTTTGGAATCAAAAATTACCTACGATGAAATGTCCTTTAAATGGTCTCTAAATGAAGATGCAATGGCTACCGAAAAGCTTTCGGAAGGTATAAGATCATTTGCTAAAGACGGTCGAACTTTAAATGCCAATTTAAAGCAAAGGTTGATGATTAACGAAGACGTAAAAGTTAATGAATTTCTTTCTGAAGAAATTACTTTTACTGCAAAAAATCGTGAACCACTGAAAATTTATTAATCGTCTATATAAACTTAGAGTTATCAGTTCGAGACTTTTTATTTTTCATTTCTTATAATTATCATTATTAAATTTACCTCCATATATGTTCTATTACCTGTATATATATTATTCAATTAATGTTAAAAATTAGAGTTGAAGTTAATGGTAGAATAGAACTAAAGTTTAATTTCTATATATTAATTAAGATTTATATAGAAAATTAATCATAATTCAATTTTTAACATATATCGTTATAGTTGTATGACTTTTTTCACCTGATATTATAATCATATTAAAGATAAAATTTTTCCTTCCACAACAAAAATTGTAATGTTTAATTTTAAAGTGAGCCATCTTGCTTTGTCAAAATTAAATCAATGGCAGCCTAAACAAATCTCTATATAAGAAATAAACCAAGCAATCAAAAGCAATATTGATGTGTTTGATGCTTAAAAAAATTAGAAAAGTTGTCGCCTTATTTCTTCATGTACTCATTATATCAAGTAAAAATCTGTAAAACCAATAAGTTATTCCAAGATCTCAAAATTGTTTTGTATTATACAGTGTGAGTTGGAGCTTTGGTCTCCAGGTAAAACCTAAACTCTACTAAATAATCAACAAGCGGATGCTTAGGGGAGAGACAGAAATCAGGTGATTTCAATTGACTGTATATTATAGTATATTCTATGATTAATATAATATTTGACCTGACTGAACTCCTAACCTCCCCATCCCCCTAAGAAATCAGCTGATTTCTGTTCCTCCCCTTATCGAAAGAGGTGGTTAGATTTGGCGAGTGTATGTTCTAAAGCTTAGGTCGCCTTTTCTACTACTAAGGGTTATGATAACTAAAATTATCCGGCATCCTACTATGATAGGACTTTCCAAATAACTAAAGTTATTTGGCAGATATTTTTAATATAAAAAATAAATACTTTACAAAAATGCTCAAAATTTGAATTGCTAAAAATTGGCTTTTTAAAAGTGTTGATAAAATATTAATTTTTGCAAAATTTTATATTTTTATAGCACTTCATTATTATAATTTTAGTATAAAAAAATATTTGCAAATTATTATAATAATAAAATGCTAATATTTACAATATATTAGCAAAATATTAGTAATAATAAAAAGCTAAAAATTATTAATAAAATAAATAATTAATAATGCTGATAAAGTAATTATTTTGTAATAAATTAGTAGAATTGCTAATTTATTACTAATAAACTACTTTATTTTACTTATATTTAGCTAAATTTTGCAAATTTTAAAATTTTAAATTTTTTGTAAAGTACTTAGCTAAAATCTTACATTTATGCGAAAGCATTAAAATATTTGTGTTTTGTCAAAAAACCTCGTTAATAGTGCTATAAGAAACTAAATTTTCGATTTACTATAAAAATTTCCTCTTAGCGACCTATATTATTAATCATTTATACCAAATCTAAAATATTTTGATGCTTTTGCAAAAATGTAAGATTTTGTAAAGTAATTTGAGTTATTTGGCAGTCTACGACTGCCAAATCACACAAACTTATTTTTTATATTTGGCAAACCCAATCGTCGAAGCACCAATAACTTTCATATCTGGTAGTGAAACTTAATATGCCAGCTTCTGGACCCCTTTGGGCCCAGTGTAGGCATATTAGGGTTAAACTGCCATATACGCGAATTAATTTTTCTGTATAATGATAAAAATCTATATTCCACATTCCACTATGATCGCATGACGGGGATTTGTCCACATATTTTATCACTGTACTTTTAATAAGCTTATTTTACTAATTGTTATCACCCGTGTTTTCCGTTATCACCCCCACATTTGCCATTATCACCCCGGGGGAAATTAACCATTATATTGTGTCGATGATATTTAAAATTCTTATTGTACGAACCAAAATTTTTTAAAATTGTCATTGCATAAGGTCAAAAGAACTTTAAATTCTTATCATATCGAGGCCAAATTTTTTAAAATTGCCATCGCGTGAGGCCAAAATAACTTTAAAATTCTTATTGTATCGGGCCAAAATTTTTTAAAATTGTCATCATATAAGGTCAAAATACCTTTAAAATTCTTATTGTATTGTCACGGGCAAAAAGTGTCATTTCCAAAAATGTGATGAAACTGCGTCTCCAGTATATCGTCACTTGCTTAGAGGATCTTTGAATCTTTGCATTAGATGCTGCTTCGTAGGTTTCAAATAGGCTAGTCAAACTCGCCCAGTCTGATAATGAGCTTATTCCTATTGTTAAATCATCCGCTATGTAATTTACACTATGTAAGACTTTTCAATTTTTGTCGATCATTTTATTATAAAAAATTCGTCATAGTAATTTATTATAAAAATCACGTATCTTTAAAA